ATTGCTATACTTTGGAACCCTTTATTTGTGCATGTTGATGTTTTGGAAGTTGATAAACAGCATGTTCATTGTAAGCTCAAATGTAAGACTACACAACTTGAGTTCTTTGTTACCTTTATTTATGCACTTTATACAGTTTTGGAAAGAAAGGAACTTTGGGCTCACCTAACATCTTTAGAACCTTCCATCATTTGTCCTTGGCTTGTGATGGGAGATTTTAATTGTGTGGGCAGCCCAAGTGAGAGAGTGGGGCCTACCCCACCCTCGACCTATCTTATGCAAGATTTGAATGATTTCAAGCTACAAAATAACCTTGTTGACACCCCCTCCACGGGTGAATTCCTAACTTGGAATAGAGGGGCACTTTGGGCAAAACTTGATAGGGTTCTTATGAACCAACTTTGGATGACTCAAGGTGTAAATTGTTCAACTCATTTCCCCCAAATGGAGGCTGAGTTTGATCATGTTGCTGCCATTGTTAAACTAGGCCGTGGCAATTTAGGTGGATCCAAACCTTTCAAATTTTACAATATGTGGCTTAAGCATGAATCTTTTAACACCATTCTTAATAATACTTGGCATAGAGAAATTATTGGTAGTTCTCAATTCATCTTGGTCAAGAAATTAAAAAGCCTCAAAGGACCACTTAAAGAACTCAATAGGAAAGCCTTTGGGCACATATCCGAGAGAGTGAAGGAGGCCAAAAAGGAGTACAATAGGCTGCATGGCCTATCTTTACTCTCCCCCTTGGATGATACTATAAATAATGATCTTAAGGTGGCCAAGAAAAAAGTACTTTACCTAAAGGGTGCGGAAGAGGATTTTTATAGACAAAAGGCTAAAGCAAATCATCTTATTCAAGGTGATAAATGCACTAAATACTTTCACTCAATTGTGAAGAAAAATGTTGCTAAAAATGCCATCACATCACTCAAACAAGCTAACGGTGATATCACTAATTCTATTGACCAAGTGGCAGATGAATTTGTAAAATTTTTCACCAATCTATTTGGCACACACTATCCTAATACACAGCTGGACCCTAGTGTCATCACCTTGGGAAATTGCCTTCCCCCTACTTCTAGGGATGGCCTTATTGCCCCTATCTCTGATTTGGAAATAAAGAATGCCCTTTTTGATATTGGAGATGATAAGGCTCCTGGACCAGATGGCTACACCTCAGCCTTTTTCAAAAGGAATTGGGGGACTGTTGGAGATGATGTTATTAAGGCAATCAAGGGCTTCTTTGGCTCTGGTAGGATTTTAAGGCAGCTTAACCACACGGTTATTGCCTTAATTCCTAAGACCACTCACTCACCTACCCCGGCTGACTATAGACCAATTGCTTGTACGAATGTGATATATAAGACCATCACAAAGATCATTGCTAATAGAATGATTCCTTGCTTGCCTAATCTTATTGACCCTGCTCAGGGTGCCTTTGTAGATGGTAGACTCATGATTGATAATATTTTTGTTGCCCAAGAATTGATTAGAGGATATGGCCGTAAACATATATCCCCTAGATGTATGCTTAAGGTTTACCTAAGAAGGATAATGTAAGAGTTGCTTGGACGGATGTGTGCCTCCCTAAAGAGGAGGGTGGTCTTGGTATCCATGATACTCATACTTGGAACTCTGCTTTACTGGCCAAAACCCTTTGGGATATCCACACCAAAAAGGATAATCTTTGGGTGAGGTGGATACATGGCATCTATCTTAATAATAGGGGTGTTTGGGAGTTCACACCCCATAATAGGGACTCCCAACTTATCAAGAAGATTGCCTTGATTAGGAATCAGATTCTTTCACATTTTGGCAATATTGATGATGCCATTACTTTCCTAAATGGCTGCCAAACTAATGGGAAGTTGTCCTCGGCCAAGATCTATAATCTTCTTAGAGTTAAAGGGGGAACTCATATGTGGATGTCTTTCATTTGGAAGAACTACATCCCCCCTAAATTCTCCTTCACGGTTTGGTTGGCTTTTAGGGACCGGCTTGCTACTTTTGACAATTTGCATAGATTGGATGTTGTGAATATTTGTCCTTTTTGCAAGGGTGGTCCGGAAACGGTACCACACCTATTTTTTGCTTGTGTTTTTTCAGGAAAGGTGTGGCATATGGTAAAGAGCTGGCTGGATATCCCTAGGCAGATGGGGACTTTGCATAGCTCGCTGAAGTGGATAAAGAGGAAGAGACAAGGATCCGACATCAAATCAAAGGCGGCTAGGATTGCTTTTTGCTGCTCCATCTATTGGATTTGGAGGACTCGGAATGCTGCTTGTTTCGATGGCTTGGTTCCTAAAGTGGATGATGTTTTTGCTAAAATCCAGTTTGTTGTCTACAAGATCCTTTATAGCCTTTATGCTTATGAGCTTGTAACCGTTTAACGCCTTTTTGGTGTTGTTTTTGACTGTGCTTTTGTGCCTTTTTGTGCTGCATCTTCACTCCTCTAGGTGGTGATGTGGCGTTTGGCTGTTGTTAGGGCTTTGTTTTGTCCTCGGGTTATCCTTGCCGGATAGCCTACATTTTTGTCCTGCTTGTACATTCTTCCCCCCTCTTCTCTTGGGTGATTTTTCAATATACTTACAGGTTACCCAAAAAAAAAGGTTGACCTAAGAAAGGCCTATGACACTATTTCTTGGGATTTTTTATCCAAGGTTTTGAGGCACATGGGGTTCCCGGACAGATTTATCCATTGGATCATGGAATGTGTGTCCACACCCTCATACTCTATCTCTATCAATGGTGTCCTACATGGACACTTTGAGGGGAAAAGAGGCCTAAGGCAGGGTGATCCTATGTCCCCTCTACTCTTTGTACTATGTTTGGAATATCTTTCAAGACTAATGAATATTAGGACCATGGACCCACAATTCAAGTTCCATCCTAAATGTGGAAAATTGAAGATATCACACATTGCTTATGCTGATGATCTTATGCTATTTTCTAGGGGTGATGCCCCTTCCATAAAAATACTTATTGACACACTTGAGGAATTTAGCAATGTTTCTGGTTTGCATGTTAATCATGATAAATCTAATATTTTCATTGGTGGATTGGCTGATTATGAGTTGAATAATTCCTGGACCTAGTTACCTTTCAAGAAGGAACATTCCCGGTCAAATATCTTGGGGTGCCTCTGGCCCCTCTCAAGATATCCTTGACCCAATATGCCCCCCTCTTGGAATCCATTACTAATTTCATTACAGCTTGGAATCTAAAGACACTCTCTTATGCTGGAAGAATTGAGCTCATCAAATCAGTAATCCAAGGAGTACATTCATTTTGGCTCCAAGTGTTTCCCATACCCAAGTCCATACTTGATAGAATTACTTCTATATGCCGTATTTTCCTATGGGGTTGTAAATTTGCTAGAGTGGCATGGGCTGACATTTGCTTACCCAAAGAAGAAGGTGGACTTGGCATACATGACACAAAGGTATGGAACTCGGCTTTACTTGCAAAAACTTTTTGGGATATCCATACTAAAAAAGACACTTTATGGGTCAAATGGGTGCATGGAGTTTACCTCAATGGCCGTAGTGTGTGGGACTTCTCCCCACACTATAGGGACTCACAATTAATGAAGAAACTAGTGTTGGTAAGGGATGAGATCCTGGCTAAATTTGACAGTATTCCTCATGCAATCCGAGGCCTACAAAGCTTCCACTGTGGGGGGAAATTATCATCTATCAAGATATATGATTTGCTTAGAAACAAAGGGCCCAAACGTGCGTGGATGTCATTTATTTGGAAGAATTATATTCCTCCAAAATTCTCTTTCACTACTTGGTTGGCATTCCGTAATAGATTAGCTACATATGAAAACCTTCACCGGTTAGATGTAGTTAATGTATGTATATTGTGCAAGGGTGGACCGGAGACGGTTCCACACCTATTCTTTGAATGTCCTTTTTCAGGTAAAGTTTGGCAAATGGTGAAGGCATGGATGCAAATGCCAAGACAAATGGGGACTTTGACTAGTTCGGTGAAATGGATTAAGAAGGACCGAGATGGAGCTGGAGTCAAAGCTAAGGCAACAAGGATTGCATTTTGCTACTCCATATATTGGATTTGGATGACACGCAACGCTGCCAGATTTGATGGCCTAAAACCGAAGGAAGAGGATGTTTTTGCAAGAATTCAATATGTTACTTACAAAATCTTGTATAATTTATACCCACACGAGTTGGTGGTGTTTTGATGAACCTCACAAACTGTTTTACTCCTCTCTCTCATTGATATGAGATAGGATAGGCTGACTAGATATCATAGATAGCATATGAGCTGTTTTTGGTGGTGATGGGTTATCCATACTTTGGATAACCTGCATTTTTGCTCACCCTTTTTGCTGTACAGATAAACTCTTTTGGATGGTTACATATATATACTTACATTTCATCCAAAAAAATTGAAACCAGCGCCTGAAGACAAGTTTTAGAACTCGGTAAGAGCTTTCCAACGAGATATTAAACGCTTTCAACGGCACAAAATACACTACAAGAAAATAAGTTATTTACCCACACTCGTATGTGTTGGTAAAACAGTAGATGTGTGTGGGTAATAATCTTTACCCACACATATTATAAGTGTTACGATGTGTGGGTACGGAAACGTAGACAAATGTTATTAGCTACACTTCCAATTATGTGTGGGTAATATTATTATTTATAGCTACACATGTATGCGTAGCTAAAACACTTCTAAATGTGTTGTTGTTGGTCATTTCACCAAATAACCCGTGACATGGCATATGACGTGGAAGTACACGTGGCTGATGATGTGGGTTGTGACGTGGCAATTCAGGTGTGACGTGGATAATGACGTGGCATAACTGATGACTCTTAGCCGTTGCCACGTGGACATAAAGATGTGTGGGTAAAAGTTATGTGTATGTGTGGGTAAATTGTATTTTAAAAGTGGGTAATAAAAGTGGGTAAAACTATTTCATTAAATATTATATTTATTTATTAAATACACATATCAAACAATTACATTTTGTAATAGCCTAATAGGAACACGGGAATGGATAATATATTATAACGATAAATGTCATAGTTCAAACTAAAATATTCAATTTCAGCAAAGTATTAGCTAATCAAAAATTGCCAAACAAAATAAAACATTAACTAGCTGCTGCCACACTACAAAGTATTAAGTCTAATATGAATTTTGCTTCTAAACAATATTATCATATTCAGAAGTGGAGTACTCAAAACCGTCAACATGCTGGCCTCGATCAATAGAGGATGACCCACGATTAAGCGGTACTGAACAATGATCTGAAGGAACATGTGACATGGGAGGCATAATATTCTTCTCAATCAACAACTTTTTCATCATTTCAACAGTGCCTGAAAGTTCTCAAACACGATCCATCAATTGAGTATAAGTTGGAATATTTGAATCACCTTTGCTTCTTTTGGACCCAGTGGGAGACCGTCCCCAACCAAATAGACGAACAGATTCTCGTCCAAGCACCTTCTCTAATATTTGTTTATCAGTTAAATCTTCAGGTGATTTTTCTCTTCTCAATTCCATCATTTCTTCCTGTTAAATTATGAATGGAATAGTAACAATTCATTAATCAGGTAAACTGTGAACATCAGAACATGCATGTATATATGTCAATAATGTAAAACTAATTAATTTGAATAAAAGATGTTGTGGTTAACACACACGGTCTGTGAAGTACACTTACATATTTAGATTCAGCTTCTACAGATACCCAACCACGTTCTGGATGCCAATGACGTAGACGCCACGTCTCAATATGACCAACATGAGCATTTAACTCAACCCCACGACTAATGTGATGGCGTGCTGTACTTTTAGATCCGTTTCTAGAAATCCATTTTCTTTTCTTACATGACTCAGCATTCTTCAAAGCTTTTTGCTATAAAATAAACACAAGTAATGATTATAAATATCAACAATAATGTATAAATGATGCATCCTGCTGTTTTTCTCAAAATAAACTATGAAACATGCTATAGCAAAGAAACTCATATTCACTACGTTTACTACTACAGTAAGCTTTAAGACATAAATATACTTTTTAAAAAATATTAAAATTCATTAACGTCAGCATATCTTTAGGTATAAAACATCTTACCAGATATGAAGGGTCGCTCCAACAATTACATATATATTCCCAATCCGATTCGCTAACACCCTCATAAGGCTTACCCTTTGCCTTCGTCAGATCACCTGCACCTCCAACTGTTTTAAAATGTTCACGTAACGTACGTCTATAGTTATGCCAAGCTCTTTGCATTTGTTTATCAATAGCTTTTCTGACATTTGCATCTGCCAAATCAACATCAAATAATGTCTGCATAACAAAGAGAATAATAAGTATGATTAATGGTTATATGAAACTTAGAGTGGAAGATGATGATAGTAGAGGTATAATGTTATGATCTAGAATTAATATAAATCAAATAACCTTATTTTGAAATCTATGGAGGAGGGAGAATATTTTATGTGATCCTATGCTTCACATCCTACGCTATTTGAATAATAATAATCAAACTACAAGAAGTTTGTAGTGTGAGTCTTCATGTATACTTACTCGAAGTTTGTAACGAAGTGGTGCTCTTTCTTCTTCAGGTACAAACCTCCATTCTTTGTACTTAAGGTCGCAATACGTACGCAGGATATATCCAACTTCATTATTGAAAACCTCTGTGTTGTCACATATTGCTTGCATAAGGTTAAAGTCAAACTTTACCGTCAATCGTGATTTAGCACTCCTCATTGCTTTCCGGGCACCTTTACTGCATGTTATTCCACGCACATTTGAACCTTGTTCTGCGGATTCATTATTGGCAGATGAAACTTGAGTGCCGCTTTGAGTTTGGTATGTAAATAAAATTATATTAGATTTAAATTACAATCTAACAATCTAAAGTCTTATTTTTTGTCTAGGAGAATGTAAAAGTCCATTAACTTTCGTTTTCTATTTTTTATTCTGCATAAATATTTCCATAAAAATCCAGTTTCTATTTTCAAGACATTAAGTATTTCAGTTTTTAATTTTCTTTTCATAACTTCAGTTCTTCATTGGGAAAATTAAAAAGCCTTTGAGATTTATTGCTTGTAACACAACTGATTTACCAAAAACTATATGCTATTAAGTTATATCACATGCCATTGAGTTCACAAAAAAAACTAAATATAAAGATGTAAATATCAAACAAAACAAAGGATTGAAACTCGAGTGTCTCTTAGAGAATGAGCTATTTAATTACATTATAAGGAATATTCAAATATTAAAATAAAGGATTGAAATAAACATTTTTATGTTAGAGATAAAACAATTCCAAACCAAAATGCTAGATTTTTTATATGTATAAAACTTCGAGAATTAACATCTAGAAGATATATAACAAATGTTGTTAATTAATAGGTGCAATATTTACTTAACAAATGAATAATTGCGAGTTATTGATATAACTAATTTAACCTGCTTGAATCCCTTCTCTTGCAGAATCATGTGCAATTGGATTACAGCTACGTCCACCTCTTGTTGAAACTCGAGCATCTCCTAGAGAATGAGCTATTTAATTACATTATAAGGAACATTGAATTATTAAAATAAAGTATTGATATAATTTTTTTTGATGTTGGAGATAAGTACTTATATCTTGAATCAATAATTACTTTGAGGCAACCACAGTAATCTTGTTATTCTAAATCATACAACCAAAAGAAATTATCTTTTTAAATAATCCAGGAGAGTAAATGTACAGTTGATAGTTATTGATATAACTGACCCGTTTGAAACTCTTCTGATGCAGATCTATGTCCTATTGGATTCCTCCTACACCCACCTCTTGTTGAAACTTGAGTGTCTCTTAGGGAATGAACTATATATTTTGAAAATTAACTCATGAGAGATAAATAACAAATGTTATTAATTAATAGAAACACTGATTTACTTAACCTGCTCGAAGCTCTTCAGTAGCATGTTGATCTTCAACAGAAATCCTACTACGTCCAACTTGTGCACGATATCCACCTCTTTTAGAACTAGCCATGGGAAACCTGCAACAAAGATTCAACAAAGAATTAAAATCATGCCACAGTGAAACTATGATATATACATATGAATAAGTTCAAACAAAAATAACCTAAGACTAAATTTATGTCATGCCATGGAGTCATCGTCACTGATATTTAGTTCTAATGCATCAGAGTCTTTGTCACTCTCAGACTCTAATATCAATTCATTGTGAAAGAAAAGCTCTCCATCGTCAGGGTCATAATCTTCAACATCTTCTAAAGAATCTTCATTTTGGATAGGCATTGACGTTTGATCCCGCATTTGTTGGACAACCTTATTCGGTAATGCCATTGGCTCTACATCTTGTCGAACTAAAAGAGGTGTGTCATCAATTTCTTCTATTGGATGAAAAGATGGTAACTCACTAGCATCTTCCTCTTGAAATATGTCATCACTAGCATCCACATTAGCATCATGCTCTGGTATATCATATATGCAACGATGATTTACTTTTTGTACAACCATCCAATTCTTGCCCAAAGCTTTATCGTCTAAATAAAACAATTGTCGAGCTTGTGTGGCCAAAATAAATGGATCTTCGGTGTACCACTGGGATGATGTGTCAACAGATGTCAGTTTATAATTAACCACCATTGTTCTCCCCTTTGGATCAGTATTATACCACTTGCAACGGAACATGAAAACCTTCCTTCCAAGGATGAAATCAAGTTCTAAAATTTCAAGTAATACACCATAATAAATGGTATCACCATTATCATCTCCAGTGCATACTCCACTACATTGTGTCTTGAACTTGTCATCACGTTCTTTGCATCGAAATCTAACACCATTGACTATACAACTTTGCCAAATTGTGTAACGATCATCCGGTAATTGCGATAAGGAATACAAATCATCACTAGCTACCGGATTACCATTTACTCTAAGTATAGCCATCTGAAAACCGAATATTAAAATTATAAATTGTTAAAATTAAAAAAAAGTTGATTTATACTTATATACTTAATATATAGGTTTTACCTTTTTCTTGAACCAAGCAGGAAATTCACGTTTGTGAATATTGTCCCATTCTTGAGCACGTGAGCTTGTCAAGCAAATAAGTTCCTTATGCTCTCTAAAGTGACAAATAAATTACTTATAATATCAAATAAATTAAAAATAACTAGAAATGAAATTATAATGGAAAACTCACTTTATGTAATCATCGAGCTCACTTCCACAATTGTTAAGAAGGTACCATTGCACCACATTCCCATCTAATCCTAGATTTCCAAATTTAGGAGCTCCAAGTGTTCGTATTTTGTGGTTAAACACGTCCATCTTATAGTCTTCACTAGAGAGGTCCCAATTGCGCTCTGGGCGTGTAAATCTTGTTTCAATATCAGTTAAATATCGAGATAAGAATGTAATAGCCTCATCGACCACGTAAGCTTCAGCAATAGATCCATCAGGCCGAGCATAATTACGCACATATCCCTTATAAGTACCCATGCGCCGTTCAATTCCAAACATCCATCTAGGAGGAGCTGGACCACCCAATAATGCTTGTTCTGGTAAATGCACGCACAGGTGAACCATGATTGTAAAAAAAGACATCGGAAAAATTTGTTCAAGTTTACACAATATGATCACAATCCCAGTTTTCATGTCCTCAAGTTCGCTAACATATAAGGTTTTTGCGCATAACTTCTGAAAGAATTGACAGAACTCTATTAGTGTGATACGTATTTTCCTATCGAGGAATGCAAGAATCGCCACTGGCAATATCTTTTGAAGCAATACATGACAATCATGAGTTTTCATTCCTCCAAGTGTATTTGCATCTGTGACACATCGACTAATATTGGAAGCGTAACCATCTGGAAGGCGAACAGACTTGATAAACTTGCAAAACTCCTTACAATCATCTTTAGTCAAGGTATATTTTGCATGCGGTTTTTCAAATTTACCATTTCGTTCCCTCAACCACAACTCCTTGCGAATGTTATGATCTTCCAAGTCAAGACGTGCGTTCAAAGTATCTTTTGACTTTAGAGGATCATTCAATAAGGTCCCGACAATATTATCGCATACATTCTTTTCTATATGCATTACATCAAGATTATGGCGCATCAACAATTTCGACCAATAAGGGAGTTCAAACAAGATGCTCTTTTTGGCCCAATTCAATTCATTAGCACCACGTTTGCGTTTCTTATCTTTATTGTTCGTAGCTTTTCCAGGTGTTGCATTATGAACCTCCTTTAGCTGTTGTAAAATGTCATCTCCAGAAAATTCTCGAGGCGGTCCTCTTCTCTCTGGCTTGCCATCAAATCCCCTATTCTTTCTCCAGCTATGTGTATCACTTAGAAAGCATCGATGCCCTGTATAGCATTGTTTTCCTCGAATTCGTTTCCATCTGGTGTCCTCGAGGCATACAGGACACGCCATTCTTCCCATAGTGCTCCATCCAGACAAGTAAGCATAAGAGGGGAAGTCACTTACAGTCCATAGAATTGCTGCCTGGAGAGTAAAATTTGATTTAGAATACTCATCATATGCTTCAACCCCATCTGTCCATAAAATTTTAAGTTCATCTACAAGAGGTCTTAGAAACACATCAAAATCCTTACCAGGCGACTTAGGACCAGGAATTAATAATGCTAAAAGATAGTTACTTCTATGCATCATACTCCAAGGCGGCATATTATAAGGCATCAAAATTACTGGCCACAAACTATGTGATGTTGACATATTACTAAATGGGTTAAACCCATCAGAGGCCAACCCCATTCTAACATTTCTTGAGTCTGCAACAAAATACGGATATAACTCATCAAAGTGCTTCCAAGCCTTCCCATCAGCCGGATGACGCAGAACTCCTGGCTCTTCCTTGCCCACTTCTTTATGCCAGCGCATGTCTCTTGCCGTGTGACGTGAAGCATACAGACGTTTAAGTCGAGGTCCCACCGGGAAATACCGCAGCCTCTTATGTGGAATATTATTACGAACATATCGATTACATTTACATATAGGACATGTGACATCATTCTTATGATCACCATAGAACAACACACAATCGTATTTGCAAACATCAATAAGTTCGTAACCTAAACCCACGTCACAAAGTAGCTTCCTAGTTTCGTAATAGCTTTGTGGACAATTATTGCTTGGTGGGAGCACTTCACGTAGTAGCTTCAACAACATTTCAAAGGAACCATCACTCCACTTATTCATCACCTTTATATTCATCAATTTTACCACGAATGTCAATACAGAGGATGTATGACATCCTACAAATAACGGGGTATCCAGAGCTTTATATAGTTTTTCATAATGAGAATTTTCTGCTGTGGGTTGCTGATTTGTAAGAAATTCAGTGGTATCCCCAATATCAAAATATTGATTACCAAATGCATCATGCAGCCCTGCTCTCAACCCATCAAATTCATCATTTTCAAACTCTTCATTACCCGCACCTTCATCATCAGATTCTTCTTCACCGTGATACACCCACCGTACATATGACGTATCAATTCCTTTAGTTATCAAATGTGCTCTGATGACATCAATAGAATGACTCCTTGAATTAAGGCAATTACGGCAAGGACATGTTGTCAATCCCTTACGATCTAAACTCTGTTTAGCAACATTTATCAATTCTTTGATGCCAGCCACATATGCCGGAGCGATCCGATTTGAAGACTTTACCCAATCACGGTTCATATCATGAGTATTCTACTAATGATAGCAAAAACATGGAAACAAAAACATATACAAACACTGGCTTAGAGAAACATTCCATTTAGTTAGGTTAGATGTTGACAATTTATATGTGTTAGTCCCTGTTTCTTTAACAGCAATGAATAATCGATCTAACAAGGAAGATTAAACGTTAAAGATGAATACAGAATGAATCACCGTAAAACCTTCTTTGATAAACCGTGGAACGTACAGCAGAATGATAAGCGTAAGGCTATGAAATAATAAGTACGACGTTCAGCCTTTTCCTAAACCTCGGCTCCCTTTTTATAGGCGAGGTTTAGGTTAGGCGTACCAGGCTTTTGGCCTGTTTAAATGGGCCTAACACTTGGCCTGATTTCTATCTAATTTATGCACTATTTAAATACAAGGATTAAATATAAAGCTAATCTATGACCAACTTGATTCACAATTAAATATCTCCAACAATCTCCCCCTTTGTGATCAAGTGCCATTCTCTTATTGCTTCTGTGATTTGAAGTAGTGCTTTCTCAATCCAAGTGCATGTTCATACTGTCTTAGCATATTTCTCTTTTCGAGGCGATCGTCAATGGCCTTTAAAATTGTCTCTACAGTAGAGAGTTCCTTTTGAACATAAGACGATGCCTCTTGAAGATTTTCTTCCAGCTTTGCCTTCATCTGTAGAATCTGCTCTCTGATTATCTTCAGTGTTCCGTCGCAGTACTTCTCGATTTCACTGACTACCATCAGACGCTTTTCGTTCTTGTGGTTCAGATAGGTGACTGCTGGCGGTTTGAAGAAGATGTGGTAGGCTGGGAAATCTTCAAGTTCTGGACCATACAGTTTTGGCTTTGTCAGATTTGTCTTCTTCAGATTGCATTCAATAGCCATCTGTAGGTCATGTGAAGAGTGTACTCTGATCTGTCTAAGCATGAATCTCTTGATAGCTGCGAGGCCTTCGCTGTATACTATGCTCTGCCTGACTGGAAGGTATCTGTAGGCCACGAGCATTTGGTAGATGTCATCCGGTTTTAGCATGATGAAGTCGTTCTCTTGACAAGTGAATTCGCTCCCATCGGTGCGTTGAAGTCTGAAAGTGTAGAATGTTACTCCATGATAGTCTTCAGCCTTCACTTGTAGAATTTGATGAATCGGGAGAATATTCGACTTCAGATCTTGTTCCATTAGTTCTCTCTGTGTACCAGTTGACCTTTGCAGCAACATATGCAGATGACCTCCAGCCTGCTTTCCTTTCAAGTGAGTAAGGCCTCTTAGCTTCAGTTCGTTCAGTGGCTTGACTTTGTCTGGTCTACGCCAGATATGCTCTCTGATTTCTTCTTGGAAGGGGGCTTTGATTCGAACGTTGTCCCAGGGTTTCTCTGTCTTGGGAAGTCTTCCCGCTGATTGTCTTACGACCGATTCAAGAGCTTTCTGGGATTCCTTGTAGTTCTCCCCTTCCTTGCGTTCATCGTCCTCGAGCCGTATAATATCTTCAGAGCATTTGTTGATCAGCTCTCGTAGCCACCAGTTTCTTTGCATGTCTTCTTGCTCGGCTTCAACCCGGAGAACATCCCATTCTATCCATTTTCTCGGCCATTTGTCGTATATCACCGCCTCTTCCAGTGCATCATGGATGTCTTTGCCTGGGGAAATATATGGAGTTCTTTGTATAGGCGGTGATTGTTCCTGTGTAGCACTACCGGGTTCACTAGGATTGCCCGTTGACATCAGCTTAGAACTGGGTTCCAACTGATGGCCTGATGGAGAAGATGTACCAGTGGTAACATCATCAGGACTTCCATCCCCTCCTTGGTTGGTATCTCTGGGAGATACGCCTCGGGATGTTATTTCTAGCTCGACCATGCTAGATAGTTTGGCTGTGGATGGTGGCTGTTGGTTTGTTGAGGTTTCTGGTTGAATTGGTTGTGGAGTTTGGCTTGGTAGAGCAGTTTGCTCAAGTGATCGAGGTCGCTTGTTCTCCCCCTCATGAGGATCCGAATCATCGGGGTCCTCATGGGAACGTTTGCGACCATGAAGACTCTCCTTGCAAGTACTCTTGGTTTCAGGTGAGGAAAGAAGAGCTTCTAGTATGGCTTGCTGATGAAGAGTGAGGTTGTCTTCTGGGGTATTTAAGAGATTGTTCAGCAAAACCGAAGCTAGTGTGTCAAAGGATAGGGAGGAGAGATCGATGGAGGGTGTGGTCGGGTGTGGGGAGAATACTGGTTCTGTATTCTGGGTTCCCCGAGAAATAGAAGGGATGGGAATTTGGTTTATGGATTTGTGGGATAGAGGGGTGGAAGATATGGGTTGTGTATGGGAGATGAATGGTTCAGGGGAAGGTTGGGGTGGTGTATGTTCAGACCGAACCGCTTGGGTGTTCCTAAATTCCTGTGCTAGAGCGGTCATTGCATCTTGCACCCATGGTTTAATGGTGGAATCTAGGAAGCGATTTAGTAGAACGTTTACGTCTTCAAAGGTAGGGTGACCAGTTACGGGGGTTGTAACTGTTGACACAGCATCAGTGAAGATTGCTGATGTGTGGCCTGCATTTAATGATGGAATCATTATGGGCGTAGCAGGGCTTCCAACCGTCATAGCTTGCGCTCTGGTTGTTGCGTTCAGGGTGAGTGCACCTGTATGTGCAGTGAATAGTGTAGGTGTCCTAGAAAAGGAAGAAAATGTCGGAAATGTGACACCTAGACTCGATGTGAGAGAAGAAGGGGTTTTGACCTCGGGAGATAGGTCAATTGTATGCTCAACTGATTCAGAAGGAACCAGCGAGGGGGTTGAGTCCCGTTCTTTTGAAAAAATAGCCTTTTGAGAGGCAATTGAGTGGCTGGGAGAGGGCTGTGCATGCGCAGTTGAGCCAGATGCTGCGACTTTTACTCGGGAACCGAAAAGATCGGCTCCTGTGCTTAGGGATTCGGCTCGGCTTATCTGGATAAAGGAGTCGCAGCCCGCAAAGATGTGCTCGTCTGCCTTATCAAACAGACTCTTTTTCGCTCGGGGCTGGGGCTTGGTCTTAGCAACCTTGTCATTTTTGACCTTAGCCCTGGTCTCTCGGATGACAACTTCTTCCTGGTTGATTGATGTCTTGATGGAGTGAGCTGCCTCGTCGTAATCATCCTTTGAGCAATTAGTCTCGCTCGGATCAGCTCTTGGTTTAGCTGTTTCTTTTATGGTGAAGACTTGAGGTCTGCGAGCTATGATTGGTGCTGCGTCTTCAGCAGTGATTCTTCTCTTCTTTGGAGATTCGACGGGCAGCTTTCCTTTTCTGATAAGGGCATATGTGAGCTCCACATCATCACTGTCGTTGTCATCATCGTCATCATCCGAGTCAGATTTTTCACTCTCCGTGCCTACGCTCTCAGAAGCCTCGTCGTCAGTATTCGTTTGGGCTTCACATGACGATTCATTGGCCGTATCCTCAGCGTCTTTTTCGGTGCCCTCAGCCGCCTGACTCGTCTCTCGAGA